AGAGAGACACACACAGACACACACCGTCAACGAAAATGCTGAACAAAGCGCCCAAACTAAAACAAACAGTTAAAACTAAAATGAAGAGTAACATAAACGTGAGACCGGCGTCGGAGGCGATGGTAGGTTAGCGTTAGGTAGCCGGCGATGTTTGTTCCCACTGTTGATAACTTCTATTGACTGTTCGCTTTGTTTGTGGCTAACGTTAACTAGCCTCCCTCGTCTCTTCTCAGATTGAACTGCTAACTCTGCTGTTTTTAAACAGCCTGGCGGAGGAGGCGAAGGCCAAAGCTTTTGAGGAAAAATGTGCAACGATTAGAGGACAACATGTCAAAGCAGTGTCCAAGGTGAGTTCAGAGAGGACTCAAATGACACAAACACACCGTGAAATGGTTACTGAACGCTGCATCCGCCGTATTTCTTCTTCTAATGACAGCTGCGTGGATTACTTTCATTATTAATCAACTTATTAGTCACCTGCTAATCGTTCGTTCTTTACATTGTCAGAATAAATAAGTAAAACATGTCTATCATCATGGTGATGTGTTCAAAATCCAAGTTTTTCTGTCCGTGTTTTGGGAAAACGTATTTTATAGCACTTGTTTTACTCCTGAGGATTTTCTGATGATCCTATATTATCTAATAATATACAAAACTAATGGTAAGTTTTTATTTCCTGACGTTTTTGTTGAATCCAGTGTTTTTATTGGTGTGATCTGCATATACGTGTATATAAGTGTCTCAGAGTATAAACAGGCACCAGCAGCACACATAATGTATATTTTTCTTATACAATTGAAGTGTTTCTAGTGTCTAAAACTTTGTTAATGAGTTTCGAGTAGTAAAATTGTGCCACTGTGCTCAAAGAAGTTTTTTTGTAAATATCCTTTCAAGTAAATGTAGATACCGCCTCTGAAAATCTCTGTATTAAAGGATACAGTAGTTGGCAGGTGTCTTAGTTCCTGATTGGAGTCTGAATAAATGTGTTGAAGGCTGACGCAGCACCAGAGAGATTCACTAATGAAAACTGTTACAAATACACAAAGTGTTGGAACCAGTGAACTCAGTAAACAGCATGTTGTGCAGTAGAGGTTTTCTCATGTAGCCTATACAAAGTTCTTATTTATATTTCTAAACAAAATGATATTAGCGTGTTAGCTTTGTTTCAATTTAATCAAACGTTACAGGGCTGAAAACACACGTATGCAGTTTTTTGATGAGTTTTTTGTCTCTCTTTATAGAAATTGCTGAAAAAAGCAAGAGGATGAAGACTGTGAAGTGCATCATCATCATTTTTATTAACAGTATTGTGAATATTATTATGAATGACAGTCGCTATATTTCTTGCTTTTTTTATGGTGTTTTCTTCTGATATTTTTATTTCATTCTTTGTGCAAGTTAATGTCTAATATCTGTTTTCCTATAAGAGTTTTTTGTTTAATTCTTGTGAATCGTATAATGGCTCATATTTTAGACCTCTCAGTCCCAAAACTGACAATGACAATTTATAATGGCTTTCTCATATTAAATAAACGAATAAACCAGTCTTATTTATTTTTACAGTGATGTCGTGAGTGTATTAAGCTTTAATCTCAAAGCTGTGGACAGTTCGGAGTGGGTTAGTACTTCCAGATCTGTTCACCCCTCGTCTCGCTCTCCTATCATCCATCACGCTCAGCGTTTTAAGCTGCACGCTTCACAGCCTCTTCACTGAGCACGAGCTCAGCCGCCTCCCAAATTCCTCACTTCTTCACGCTACATAGATTATCGGCGTGCTGAGCTCCTATCCTGCTTATTTCCTACCACAGAAGAGGTCCGTGTGTAAATGGTGAAAAGGTCAAAGTCATACTGTTAAACTGCTGGATCGAACAGTAATGGTTGTTGAGAACAGTGTTATGTGTCATCGCTTGGTTTGTATTATGCATATATGCTAGCACGATTACAGGTATCGATTACAGGTATGTGTCCACATGGTTTAAATTTGTTACTTAAACTTTATTATTCACTTGGCTCTCTCACTCCTTTGCTTGGGGTCCTCCATCTTTATCGTCCCCCTCCCCACATTTCAGTTTGGCAGTTAAAACATTCTTTGGCCTCCAGCGGTTATTTTCTTGGAGAATCTGATCTGGCACCCCAGTGAGCACAGCCTTGTCATGTTTATGTTCCCAGTCAGGTTGAGGAGGTGTTACTGGGTTTGTGGAGCCCCACTCCTCTGACCTCTGAACCACTGCCACTTCTCTCTCTCTCTCTCTCTCTGCCTGCTGTTCTCTCCTTTATTCCTATATCTTCATCACAGAGCCACATACATACATTTCACTCTGATGTGCTGTCCGAAGTTTTTCCCAGCTTGCAGTAGTCCTTGTTAGCAACAATAGTTAAACTTTTTCACACTCTCCTAGGTTTGCTCTTGTCCTCAGTGGTTTTTGAGAAACACACTCTTCTCCCTCTGTCAAAATAAAAACGGTGGCCTTGCCTCGCCTGTCCAGTGCATGTTCGTTTCTGAGCACCTGTTGACAATTGAAGCCAGGCAGCCAGCGCGGCCCTGTCCAGCTCCTCTGTCTGGTCTGGCAGAGTGTAACATTTAGCTCCGTCTCTCTCAGATAAATCAGCTGAAGTGTAAAACCCCACTGCAAAGCTCCTGCTCATTCCTCTTTTGACATTTTTCCAGGCAAGCCAAGAAAGCACTGCAGTCCATTTTGGCCGAGAGGTTGTTATGATAACTTGCTGTGCCGTTCTTAATGGGGAGCACATGGTCTGACAGGTTTCTATTGTGTCACTGTCTCTGTTCGTGTCTTTGTTCTGAGGAGGAATAGAATTATTCTAGTCTAACAACAACGTTACAAAACGGTTAAAAATAAGCAAAAGCAACATCTTCAGTTTTGGCTTATTAGCAAATCTGGGGATTTTTCAACTCTATAAGATTTGACAGGCTCTGAAATGATTATGGATTTAAACAGAGGGTCATGAATTGCAGAGGGAAACCAAATTCCAAGAAGTGGAACACTGGAGAGATCTGTTTTGGAGAAGCAGTGAAGAACCACAGAGTTCCCAAAACAGGCGATAATACACGCGGTGGTGCCAAACAACAAATCCTCTGGAGGACTTCAAGCTTTCATCACCTTCCAGCCTCTTTGTGGGAACCGCAGACCCTCTGTGACACCTCCAGCTCTCTTTTGTTTTGTTGTTGAGAGGTAGTCAAATCACCCTGTTTTTTTGGTTTACATTTCCTGAATCCAGTCTTCATGGGAAACACAAAGTGCCCTGTAATGGATCAAGTTCAACTAAAATCTAAAAAAGCTTGGGTGACATGGTAACTGGCAGTTTTTGTGCAGCGGATGTGTTGTTTTTTAATTTTATTCCATCATCGTGACTTCATCCAGCCCGTGTGAGAAGGCTTTAAAAAGCTGGTGATGATATTGTGATGACAAGCTTCAAAAAACATATTTATGATTTATTGTTTTAAATGGAACCAAATGAGGAGCTATTTTGTTGTCATGGTCACACACACACACACACACTATTTGTAGGCTGAGCAGAGAGTGTATGATATTAGTAAATGAGGCGTGTGTGTACTTGATGTGCTACACTCGCCTCTAAACAAGCTCTGTTACTGTGGTGCAACACTGATAGCAGTTAAGTCTTGAGTCTGGTGTGGTAATACTGCGGCACAAAAAAGTGTCTGGAAAGCAATATGGTTTACTAATTTATGTATATCTGGCCAAATAATAAAACATAATCACATGTTTTATTGGCCAAAATATCAGTATAGTTCTGAGACGGTAATTACCTCATTAAAAGTTCTTTGAATATATAAATGATTTTCACTTCAAAAGTTAAATTACTGGAAGTCAGTTGGATTCGATTTCAGTTGTCACAAAGTCCTGCTTGTAAGTACACATCTTAAATTCAGAATGAAAGTTTCCCCTTCAGCAGATGAATGTTAAAGCAGCCTTTTAGTGTCAGACTCTGCAGCGCAGTAATTATAAGCACAACACATTTGTGAGTGGAGGAGCTCTTTAAAAGATTGAATTCTAAGTATTAGTTAACTAATAAATGTGTATGTGACGAATGAGGATGAAGGTTAAACAGTATTATGATTCCAGTTCTGTGAAGAAATGCCATTTGATGTGATAATGGATCAGGAGGAGGGTCGTGAAGGAAGGGTAACAGGAGAGGAGGCTGGGAGTGTGTGTGTGCGTGTGTTTGTGTGGGAAGCAGAGACAACCCCAGAGCAGCTTAACCAAATTTACATTAGATTTGCATTTCGACTATCATATGATGGTTTCTCTTCTGTTTGCATTCTTTGTGGCATTCTGCCGGCTTGAGTGATCTCATGGAATGCACATGGGATTTTTCTTCAAGAAAACATTTAGTTCAACTCTGCACTCGACTGCTCTCTTACACCAGACCGGAGTCTCTACATGGGTCCATTTGAATGAAATTTGTGGAGATATTCCCAATTTCTAAAAATGGATGTCACGGGATTTGGGATGTGATGCAAGGTGCCTCTGCTGACTGGATTGATGTTTTGCTGAAGGAAGAAGGAAAATGTGGATACCGTCATTCATTTTGATTCTGTACTTCATGAATCTTACAAAAGGCCTAAATAGCACAAAGATTCTGAAATATAAATGTAAGTATTCAAGCTTGACTTCTACCTCTCCGATAATGTTGTTAGACTTGTGCCTTATCTTTCTCCATTTTTCCAGTGGAAGGTAGTAAACAGTAGACAGACACTACAGTACATATGGAGACAATAAGTGTGTTCTATTAGCTTTCAGGGAACAATGTGGTCATAGATTTCCATTGGTTTTACCCATTTGCACACTATGAATTTGAAAGCTTGGCTCTGTCTGTTGGCTCTGATCTCAAGTTGCCAGAAAAACTGCGTATTGTAAATGGAGCAAAAAGTACTTCAGTATTTCATTCTCATTTTATTTGCACGAGCTCAGGAAGAGTATAAAATTCACTCAGCCCCCCTCCACACACACACATCCCATATCCCTTTATCCTACATCCCCAGGTAGCTCCCCCATGAGCAGCCTCTGTCCAGCCGGTTGTGCAACATGCTCGGCCCTGAATGGCTGTCTGTCCTGTAAACCTCGCCTTTTCTTCCACTTGGAGCTGGATGGGATGCGGCAGAGGGGCACCTGTCTGTCCGCCTGTCCCCGGGGGCACTACGGCATGCGCTCTCCACACATCAGCACTTGCATCAGTAGGTACCAATAAACACATGTAGGAGTGGTGGAATGATGTTTAAACCTATTTTGTCTAATTTTGCAGAAGAGACTTTATAGTGGTAGAAGGCTTTACTGCTTCATTGTGTTTAGCTGAACTGGGTAAGACTTGAAATACACACTGTGTATATTACAAACTGACTTAAAGAAAATAAAACAAACAGGAATATCTTTTGGTGCCATTGGCCTACAGGGTGCAAGGAGGACTGCGCTTCCTGTTTCAGTGAACATTTCTGCACACACTGTCACCTGGGTCACTTCTTGTTCCGGGGCAAATGTGAAAACAGCTGTCCGAACGGACTGACAGCAAACGCAGCACTGCGAGAATGCACAGGTGAGACACTGCGCAGCGCTACTGCAGTGTGTACATGTGGTTTTGTGCTTACTTTACTGGAACTACAGTGTTTGTGTCTCTGTCTCAGAGTGCTCTGTAGACTGTGAGGTGTGTGTGAGGAGGAACATGTGTGTGAAGTGTAGAGCAGGCCTGTACTTTCTCGACGGCCAGTGCCATCTCACCTGCCCGAGGGGATTTGAGCCTGATGTGCAGTCTCTACAATGCATCCCACAAGGTGAGAGAAATTCCCTTTCATCTCCAACTTTTACGCCACATCATGGCACCATTTCAGTATCGCGGTCTCTGTGTGTTCTTACCTTTCTCATCTTTTCTCTCATCACAGTGCACTGTCAGCTTGGGGAATGGACGGATTGGGGTCCATGTGTTCGGAAAAGGAGAATGCGAGCCTACAGGAGGGGGGGGGAGACACGTACCCGTCAAGTTCTGCAGTCACCTAGTCTCCACGGTGACGCCTGTCCACATGTGTCAGAGATCAGGAAGTGTGTCATCAAAAAGAGACCAAAGAATCCAAGTATGTTGTAATAAACTGAAAAGAAGAGACAATTAAAACTATTTGTTTTAACTTAATATTGCTCACTCTACTTTGGCTGGTAATTTAAAAACTTGAAAATACTATTGTAAATTGTGAAGAAAAAAAAAGGCACTCCAACAGGCATTATTAAAAGGGATGGATATGATGATATTACATGAAACTTTTTTGTGCTTCTATGAATTCAACACCTTTGCTGCATCGCTTGGCTTTATGTGGCTGAATCAGAGACTTTTTATATGATTAGCAGTCGTGCTAAATTGATGCCACTTGTGTTTTGTTTTACATGCTGATTGCCTAACTTTACTGTTTATGTCGTATTGTGACTTTTTGAGGACACATACAACCCAAAAAAAAGGTGTAAAAAGATTCTTACTTGCAATAAAATGTATTAACAAAAATGTTTTGGTTCTTAGCTCTTTATGTTAAAGCTGGACAAAAACAGCCAACAAATCCTCAAGCCTTTTAACCAGAACATGTTTTGACATATCAGACTAAGAAAAGCCCAGCTGTAAATTATAACATTAATGATATCTGGATTCCTTTTAGCTGCCTCAGTTTCAGGGTC